GTTCCCGCAGGGCTGTGTGCGCCGCGGTACGAGTTTGGAGTTCTGCGAACGCAGTAGGAGCCCGGGGGTCGGGGGGCGGTTGAGGTAGAGAAGTGATCAGCCTGAGGAGGAGAGAGTCAGGCTGCTTTCCCCGCACCACCCGCACCCTTGTGGACCATTCGGATGAGTCCGCTGAGTGACGCTGATGCCGAGTCCTTTCACCTACATTATAGTCTCAAGACTTGTCAGGCTCTTTGTATTACTTTTTTGCAGATGAAGAAATTGAGGGTGGGAGGGGTCACTTCACCTACCCGCTTGCCACCAGCTTGGTGACGGTGACGCTGGGGCTGTACCAGTTCCTGGAGCCCTCAGTGGTGGTGCGGCCCCTCAGCCTGCTGGGCGCTAGCTCGCCCCGCTCCCCTTGGCCTCTCCTGTGGCTTGGCAGCTGCGGAATCCAGGGTAAGGCTGTTGCCCCTCAGCCTGCTTGTGCAAATAGAGCTGCCCAAAGAGAAGCCTCTGGTGTCCATTTTGAGCATCATCTTTCCAGAGAGGAAATAGTGACAGGGCCCAGGTGACTCTAACGTTTCTTTATCCAGCTTCTACTCCCTGAGGGGCTGTCACTGCAGGTGGCTGGCATTGTCGGATGCTCTCTGTGTGCCGCATGCTGTGCTGAGCAGCTCCCTTCCCATGTCTTCCCCTCCACCCTAGTGACTGTCCCTCCTCCACTCTATTATGACCCTTTTCAGACATACAGAAAAGTTGAAAGACTTACGTAGTGAGTACCTGTGTGACTGAATTCTACAAGTAACGTTTTCTCTGTTGTTTTATCTTGTATCTGCTCATTTATTCATCCAGGAATCTACTTTTGCATTTCAAAGTAAGTTAGAGATGTTAATATACTTTACCATAAACCCGTTAGCATTTGTGCCTCTAGCTGTGTTATGAACTTTGTTTTCAGGTGAGGAAATGGTAGTTCACAGGGGTTAAATTCAAGGATCCAAGGTCACTCAGCTGGTAATTGGTAGAGCCAGGATTTAAACCCAAGCCTGTCTGACTCCACCAGAATCCATGCTCTTAACTCTGATGCTGTATGCTTTCATACAAATATGAGTTTCCCAAGGATAGAGACCGGGCCGTATTATATACCTAGAACCAGCCTCATTAAAGGGACTCGGTATTTATTTATTGAATTATTAACCATCCACCTCAGCTACCAGATCCTTGTAAGAGTCTGGCCACATCAGCAGCCTCCCTGGTGTTTAATGTCCTTGTCTGAAAGATGAGAGAGTTAGACTAGGTCATCTTTTAAAGGCCTCTCTGGTTCATGCTTTTTAAATTTTAGAATTCATTGAACATATCTCACTGGAGAGAAGGAGCCTAAACTGAGGAAGGTTAAATGGAAGGGGTCCTGTGTGTAAATATGAGTACACAGCCAAGGTTCAGATAGTCTATTCTACCTCTTTTGAGTTGCCCAAAGCATCCAGTGCTGAGGATTGCGATATTAGAGGGTACCCTGGAGAGACCATAGTGGCTCTTTTATCTTGTTAAAAACGCAGCATCTGAAGAATATCTTCTAGGCTCTGTTAAGGGTGCTGTGCTTTTCCAGCTGAGCAAGAAATGGAATACAGCCCATCCACACACTTCTCTTGAACCCTTGTTTTTGAGGTACTCTCTAAGTGTGGGACCGAGGCACTTCTCCACAGTCCTGGAAAAAAGTGATGGAGGAGGCGAGATGTGTTCGTTCACAGACCCTTTCAGGATGATGCCGCCCAGGGAACAGAACAGTGACCTGCCCTAAGGCGAGGAGAGGGCACCTTTTAGACAGTCATGTATTGGGGTATTAAATCAGTGTGAGAAACTTGTATTGTGTGGTCCTGAGATACAGACATTCAGTAAGCGTGACTTTCTCAGCATTACTCCTTTATAGTTAATTTTTTTAATAGTACATGAAATCAGTAACTCACTTACGGAATTTCTGCATACACACACACATCTGTATACAGTTGATCCTTGAACAACATCGGTTTGAACTGCACGAGTCCACTTCCATGTGGATTTCTTTCAATAAATGTATACCAGGGTACTACATGACCTCCAACTGGCTGAGTCCAGGGCTGCTGGCCAGCAGAGAGGGAGGGCTGACTGTAGAGTTATGTGCTGATTTTCGACTGTGGGGGGTCAGGCCCCCTGTACTTCAAGGGTCAACTGTATACACATATGTGAGTATGTGTATATATGATGTATGTATCTAGATATACACAATACGTGTATGCTGTGAGTGATATAATACTCAGAATGTGTTTAAAGGATACCAACAATCAGGTAATTTAATCTTGAGTATTCGAAAGGCATTTGTTGGATCTTAGAATGCCGTAGGTTTAACCTCACATGCAGCACTCGCTTTGCGGCATTCTGGGCTGGTTAACTGATGGCCAACCAGTAGAATATGTTACTGATTCCTAGCCCTTAGGTGGTTAACTTGGGAGTCTAATAAAAGCTGTGAATCGTCCCCCTGGAAGAATGCACATTTGAACATAGACACGCAGTTTTGTTTCCAATTTCACTTCCAGTTTCAGGAGGTATGTGGGCCCTTTGGATACGTCCCTGGTCCCAGACTAAGAATCACTGTTCCCATTTGTACCCCTGCTGTCCATTCTCCACACAGCAGCCATCAGGATCCTTTAAAAACAAATCCTCAGAATGTGACACATAGCCTAGAATCTTGTCACTGGCTTCCCTTTACACCTAGAATAAAATCCAGACTTTACTGTGAGCTGGAAGATCCTGTCTGAGTTCTGCCCCTCCTGCCTCTTCACCCTCACCTTTCTGGTCTTTTTGTTTTCTGAACTCTGGTCACTGCAGTCCTCCTGTCCCTTGGACATGCCAAGCTCATTTCTGTATTTTGTTTTCTTTTGTTATTACTTTATTAAAGGTTCAGTACCACATGTATCCAAAAGAAAAGCCATGGACCAGATGTTTTATTACATTTAGCTTTTTTTTTTTAGAGTAAAAAGCAAAAATCATCTCTTAGAGATAAAACCATTGACAGTTTGATGTAGATTCTTCGAGATTTTTCACTATGCATATATATACAAACGTATGGATATATTTTAAGTGCAAATACAGAGTTGTATTACGTATTTTACCACAAATATAAAATTATTCTGTATTTAATTTTATAACTTAGTTTTTGTTCCTAACATCTCCATAATATAGTCTCTTTTTTTTCTAATTGAAATATAGTTGATTTCATTCCTGTAATTTGAATTTGCTGTTTCCTTTGCCTGGAGCTTCATGTATCAAATATAATGTCATCAGAGAGGTCTTCCCAGATCACTTTTTATAGAGCAACCTCTGCCCCCAGCCATTTTGTTGCCCTTTTCTCCAAGGTAGTGAGCGAGTACACTGTTGTGTCTGTCTGTCTGCTGCCCCCAGCACCAGGACAGTGCCTGCGGCGGCCTGGCGCTCCGTGAGTCTGTGGACCGTGTGGACCAGGGACTGTGCTCTTTCATCCTGTGATACATTTTAATATTGACTTACTATTTCTTTCCATTGTGGTGTCTAGGCATGTGGTGTGATAGTAGAATTAATCAAAAGCAAGAAGATGGCTGGAAGAGCTGTCTTGTTGGCAGGACCTCCTGGAACTGGCAAGGTACTCATTTCCTCTCATTTTTTTAATCTACTCAAGAGGATGATCTTAATGTCTAAGCTAAATTGAATTTGTGTCTTATGAGACTTTGTTTAGCTAAATTGGTTATGTGTATGGTTTTAAAACTAATGTGTCTAAAATCCATGCTTCTGAAATTCAAATTATCCTGGCTGACCTCCAGAGAAAGAGAATGAAGTCCTCGGAGGGGTCTCATTGTCACTGGAGTTTGTCTTTTATCTCTTTCGAGTCTTCTTTGCCTTGGAAATACATTTCTGTTGGCCTCAGGCGTCATAAAATCTTGGGAATGACATCTTACTTTAGGGGAAGGAAAATCAGTCAGCAAGCAATTTTCAGATGCTGACTTGACCCAGCACTGTTTCGTCTGTGTGAGAGATGAGAAGAAAAAGAGAAGAAGAATTAGAGATGAGATTTTTATCTTCACGGACCTTACAGTCTCCAGGGAAGAGAGGAAACCGTGGCAGCGCAAAAGGCTCTAGCTGAGCACTAAGCCTGAGGCATTGCCTGGTCTTAGATGCAGCTGCAGCTGGAGCTGGAGCAGGGGTGGCCCTGGGGCTGGTAGAACTGGATGGGTTGAGGCTCGACATTTACCCTTCGGAGTTGGGAGAGGGTTTGGCTTTGCAGGGAAGAAAAGGGCTTTCTAGGCCGAGAGTGCAGGACGGCTTGTGGGGTCAGTGAGGGGCCTGGCCGGGTCCTTAGTCTGGGCCCTGCTTGTTCTTCTAGAGGGCTACTTGGTGCAGGAGAGGAGGAGCTTGGGAGGAAGTGTCTAAAGACAGGCTGTAAGTTGCAGCTCTGGTGCTGACTTGCCAAGACCTCAGGCAGGTCCCCTAGTCTTTCTGAAGTGGTAGCCCCGCTGCCTGTTTCAGGAAGTTGTTAAACCAGTCAGCGGCAAGATGATGACCTTAGTTATTTTGAAATCATATAACTGAATGGACAGTATGGGTTATGTTGATGTCTTTGAATAGAGGGAAAGGTGCTGTACTTGTGAACACATTTTTTTAAGCTACAAAGGGCTGTGTGAATGTGAGCTTTGTCACTGTGTTTAGCGTTTATGTACTTACTATTCCTTCTCACATCTTAGACCTTTGCTCTCCCTCCATCTTCTTCTTAAAGTGCGTCATTAAGAAGTCCCTTCCAGGAGTGTGTGGGTGGCAACAGGGGCTTCTCTTCATTGTGCTGCTCCTGCTGGGAAAGGCAGTTGTGTTGGACACACACTTCAGCGGATGGATGTCTTTTCCGAGTGCTGTTTCTCCCAATGAGACTCACTGCCTTTTGGCTTCTGTTGTTGCTTTTGAGAAGACTGACTTTGAGGACTTTGTCTTCTGTTGCTGAATATGTTTGGGGTATTTTGGTTCTGGTGTTTTGCTATGATACGCCAAAGAGTGGATTTACTTCCATGTATCCTGTTTGATGTTAACTGTGCTCTCTGGATCTGAGTACATATTGTGTCTGATCAGTTCTGGGAACTGGTCAGCCTTTGTCTCTTCAGATGCAGCCTTTCCCTGTTCTGTTCTCTCCTTCTGGGACACGGGCTCTGTGAGATTCCACTGCAGAGGCCCTCAGCCCTGGCCAACCTTGCCCCCAGGGGACATTTGACACTGTCCTGAGACATTGTCACACGTGCTTGAGTGGGGAGTGCTGCTGGCATCTCGTGGGTGGAGGCCTGGGGGCCTGCAGAGCATCCTGCGGTGCACAGGGTGGTTCCCACGACGAAGGATTGTCCGGCCCCGAATGTCCACAGTGCCGAGACTAGGAAACCCTGTGCCAGAGCTGTCTTCTTTCTTTCCACCTCTTTTATGTTTTCTGTTTGTTTGGCTCTGCTGCGCTCTGGGTAGTTTCTTTAGATCTCTCTTGCAGTCTGTCTTGTGAGCTGTATGAAGCTGCTCTTTAATCCAGTCCATTGAGTATTCCCTCTTGTCTTGAGAAGTTTGGAACCTAGAAGAGTGGGAAGAACAGTGTGGTGAACCCCTCTGTACCCTACTCAAAGGTAGCAAATTATAAATACTTTGTGACATTTGGGTTTTCTCTATTTTATTTGTGAACCATTTGAGAGTAAGCACAAGGACCTTCTCCGACGTTACCCTGATGCCATCATCCACCCAAGAAACACAGTGTTGCTGACAGTATTGGCTAATGTCTAGGTTATATTACAATTTCTCCAAGTCGTTTCAGTCTTTGGCTCTTTCACTTTGTATTTTCAAGTTCAGTTGAAATAAAATGTCACACGTTGCATTCATTGTTGTCTCTTTTTTCCTAGAACAGTTACCCTCCCTTGCATTTTTGGTTGTTTTTTCCTTTATGACATTGACACTTTGAAGCGTCAGGACAGTTGTTCTGTAGAGTGTCCTGTAGTCGTCCTGCGGTGCTTGGCTGATTGTCTCTGTCTGAAGCGTTCTGCGCTTTGGCAGAGTGCCGCACTAGTGACGTGTCTGGAACCTGCGTCACCACAGGAGGCTGACGCCACTTCCCACCGTGAGGGGCTGCTTCCCTCTGTGATCTGTAACTGTCTTCGGTGGCGCTGAGGTGTCCTGAATATCCTTTTACTCTGTGGCTGTGGCATTTGTTGACGGTCATTTTATCAGTTATCAGACTGCTGGTTGCAAAACTGATTTTCAAAATCTATCATATCTTCTGTATATATGTTAGCTTGCTTTTTTTTTCCTTTTCTGTAGTGAGGAAGCCCCTCTCCCCTACCCATTTTTATATTTTTTCACTCCTTCAAAATCTGGCTGTTTTTGATGGCCTCTTGTTCCTTGTTCATGAAACTATTTATTTATTTTGTGTCCTTGTCTGCTTGAGAACTCACGTTTGATCAAATCTGAGGCTCCCCAACCTCCTGATGAGGGCTGAGTGCCTGCTGAGAGGACCTGCAAGGGGCCCTGCTGTGCTGCCAGCCCAGGGCGCTGGTTGGGGGTTTTGTGGCTCAGGCTTTCTGGCCATCAGGCATGTAGAGACCAGTCCTGAATCACAGCCAGAGCCATGGTGAGACTGACAAGCTTGTCCTTGTCCTTTGGAGATCTTCTTTAAGGCCACCTTGTCTGCTGATGTGTGCCCTTCAAGGCTCTTTTTAGCCAGGGCTTCCGGGATCTGTCAGATACCTTCAAGGCAGTGGTAGTTACCACTCTGAATCTGTCGTGACTGTGTACTTGTTCTAGATGTCTCGTAACGGGAAGGAGCGGCGTGGCTCTAGCGGCTGTTTCTCTGTCAGCATGGGGCCTTCGTGCTTTTGTAACGTTGCACCATTTTCCTCCCAAGGGACAGGAGAGGCTCTCAGCACCTGCGGGTTGTCCAGTCCCTCCATGTACTTCGGGCATGTGGAAACTCTCCTGCATTACAGTTGCTGACGGGCCCCAAGCTTCAGGCAACTTAACTGAGTGACCGGCACGAGTGTGGTGCTTGCGTAGAGGACGCCCGTTCCACTCTTGAGGGCTGCAGGCTCTTAGTAATGGGGCTTTGTGTTTGGGTTTTAGAAAGAGGTGTTCAGGTGAGACTGAAGATAAAGTAGGTTTTTTAATGTTCTTTTGTCAACAACCTATTTTTTGTGCCATTGGCTTGTGGGGGTGGGCACACAGAAGTAAGTTCTTGGAAGATTGAGGTTGCAGCCTGACTCTGCTGCTTGCTAACTGTTTCACTTTGGGTAAATTGGTAATTTCTGAGTTTCAGTTTCTAAACCTGCAAAGTACAAGCTAGATTATCAAGTTTGTGGGCTGGTTGGGAGGGTTCAGTGGGATCTCTGTGCAAGCCTCCCAGCCTATAGCCACCTCCTGTGCCAGCCTTCGGAGAGCCTTTAGATGGAGGAAGGTAGGCACACCGAAGCTTTTCTTAATCGAGTACTTGTTTTATTTTAATGGAATATGCTGATCGTCTCTTCTGTTTTTGGTAGAGATGAGGGTCTGCCATCAAATCAGGCACAGCCCTGCTTTTGAGGCTGACAGCTGAGGGTGGGGAGTTGGGGCCTGCAGTGCTGGGGGCAGAGAAGGGACAGTGACTAGGCAGTGACTGGGGAGGTGGTGGAGTTTGGGCATAAGGTGGGTGTCCCACTGGGAGTCCTGGTGTTAGCCTGCTGCTCCTCTCACTGTGCCCTGACAAGCTTCAGAGTGTTCCCTCTGCTCTTAGGATACACAGTTTTAGAGGTGTCAGCCTCTAGGACACAGCTCAGACGTCTTCTCAGACGGCCGCAGAGCTGAGCGAGGCGCTGGGGGCCACATGAGCCCTCGCTGGGGAGGCGGCTCCCTGTCTTCCACTTCCAGTGCTGCTGCGTGGTC